TTTTCCCTAATCCCCACCTTCCTCATTCCCACCTCCAGGCTGCTCTCCAGCCTGGGTTGTTCTCTTAGCCAATACTCAGGGTCAAATGCAAGGCCTTTTCCTACTTGAGCTTGTCCATGATAACGCTCTTCAATTTGTTCAGTGACTACACTGACCTTTTTGTACACCGCCTGATTTCAAATACTTGGCTACACCAAAATATTGATTCTTGTTCTGATGTTTTGTTTGTAAACCATGCTCACTATTTTCACCTGACCCTTCTTCCTCTTATGAGATTTGGGATTTCTGACAAGTAGCACTTTATTCTTTTCTAAGTTCACTTTATTTTGTAAATATAAAATAAATTTAATATATACAAATATTACAAATTATATTTGTAAATGTAAAATAAAGATACAGATATACATATATTTTAAGATTTATTTATTTATGCATACAGGCCAGAGATGCGGGGGGGTGAGGGTGAGGGGCAGTGAGAGGATTCACTAGAGACAGTGGGGAAACAGAACAGGAAGATTGACCAAAGTACACTGCTGAGGGAGCAGCGGGTGAGTCAGGAGAAGTCTGCTGCGCCATGTGGGTTTCTCCCTGGCTGCCATGGATTGAACTCATGCTACAGAGGCCGTGGATTGCTTTCATAGTGCGGTGCTTAACCCCTTGTGCCATCAGGGAGGCCCAATAAGATATAAATAAATATAATTTCTGGTTCACTGATTGCTTCATGGGCTTGTCAGATCTTCCCATATAAACCATGTCATTTCTGGGAGAAGGTATTTTCCTTTCATATTCTGTTTTGCTCCATAAAGCTCCTGAAAGTGTGGTATGCGAATGAATAATAAACTATCTCATTGATGATTTAGGTAATTAAAACATTTTTTCTAAGTGTTTAAGGAAACATTTGTCAAATATTATAAAGTAGCAATAAATATAAAGGGAAAATTCACACCATCCCACTAACAGAATTTATATTTATTCTAAATCAATGGAGCCTAAACAATAGTGTGTTCTTTTACTTTGCAGAATCAGAGTGTTAACACTAGGAAGGGAATTCAAAATTACTTAATCCAACACATCCATTCAGCAACCAGACCCCTCCTGCAACACCGCCGTGGAGCTTTGCAGCAAAACATAGGGTGACGCAGAGTCCCACTTTTGGAAGGCTGCTCAGTTAGAAAGTGCTTCCTTATGCTGACAGAAAATTTATCTCCTTGCACTTCCTCCCACTTGTCCTGGTCCTGCCCTTTTGGATCAGACAGAACAATTCTAATTTTCCACATGAAAGCACTTCTAATATTTGGAGTCAGTTAGGACAGCCTCTCCTGTTCCTCCGGGCCCCACCTTCTCAAGACTAAGTCTCCAAACTCTCCTATGGTGGCCCCGCTGTGTGGGTTTTTCATCAAATAATTGAGTTTGCCCACATGCATTCCTCAAGGTGCAGACCTAAATATCTTAATTAGGGGTTGCAAATTCAGATACCTCCAGGGGCCAGACCTTAACAAAGGTAAACGTGTGGCCATGGTCCAGGGCAAAGGCATAAGTTGTGGTAGGAGCTGGACTTCAGCTCTGATTTAAGGTTTGCACATTCAAAACTTTAAACCCAAGTGCTGGTCAAATAATATTGGGGCATATATACCATAGTTGTCCTCCTGGGCTATCAGGTAGCTAATCAAGATAAATCTGTCACCTCCCTGAGGTGACAGAAGCTGCTAAAGAAGCAGCTGACATTACATTAAATTAGCAGTTACATGTGTTTGTATGTATATAACATGTAATATATATATGTATCTATGATTAAATAACAGCTAGATATTATAATTATACTTGATGCATTATGTGGTATTTTATGTGTATATTACATAAATGTTGAATTTAACCTGAATGTTGTGATCCTGTAAAACAATGAAGGCTAAGAAATTTCCCTCTTTTTCTTCTGGAAACAGTTTATTGAAAAGAACAACTTTTCCTGTATAATTTCAATAGGACTCACAGATGTTCCCTTGTTTACAAGACCAAACAAGACTTTTAATATTCCCTTTTCTTGCCTCATAAATGGTAAGCTGAACTGCCCTTCCCCATTCAACCTTGGTTAAGCCTCTCTCCTCCTCCAGGTCCCTGAACTTTGGCCCACCTCAGCCTGAGTCAGCAGACAGTCCCTCCTGAGAACAGACTGGCCTCAGGGTAAAACCATTCTCTGATCTACTATCCAATCCTGTCACCCTTTCATCCCAGTTCCCCACACCTTCACTTCTCTCAAATTAAAATTTTTTTTGCCTGACTTTAGAGGCCCTTGCAACTCTTAGAGTCAAAGCATCTTCCCTAATGCACTAGTCTCCCTCCTTTCTAGAACAGCAGTAGCTTCCTCTCCTTACAATAACCCTTTCAAGTAAAGTGTCTCCTTACTAAGTCCAGATTTGTGTATTTGACATAGTATTAGCTATTAATAATATGATAATGTTATCATATTCGTTCATCTGTTTTTACATCCATTTTAGCAATAACCATGGTATACTATTAAATCACAGTGATTGTAATTCTAAACCTTTTCCCATTATGTTGCTATTAAACCTCCATTCCCTCTTTGAGCATGTCCTCTTATCAAATGAATTTTTTTTCTTTGGTGGATTGTCACACTACTTACAAGCTGGTCAAGACACCTTAGGATCCTGAACCTAGAAAATTGCTGTGGTAACTGGTTTCCCAGCATTT